CCTTCTAAGACATGTTGCATGTGTACGATTATTTAAAGACTTCCCAAAGGGCAATGTCTAGCAAAAACCAAGGCTTACTTCTAAACACCTCACCATTGAAGACCTGGAAAGTGCCGAATGAAGTGTACTGAGGATGGTGCAGAGGCTATGCGTTGGACTGAAATTAGGTGGGTGCATAGTCATTCGCGAGAAATGGATCACAGAAAACTAAAAGAGAGCAACATTCATCTGAAGAATCTTTCACTGTTCTGCTTTACTGGCCTGATTAGGGTAAGAGAACGGCTTCAATATTCTCCGCTACCGTACAGCACGAAGCAACCTGTTATCCTTTCGCAACCTCCTTTTGTGCCGATTAATCATGTAACATGTTAACGGATTGAATGGCCTGATTTGTATGTGAGACACAAGTGCTATCTTGCCAGAAATCTACCGGATAATCCGTCGTCAAGCCCAAATCAAACGAGTCGTTGAAGCTTGCTTTCTCCACTCTCTCGTCAACTTACTGCACCTTCGCCGGTTTATGGCCTGGAGCCGTATTAACCACCATTCAAGTTTATCGGCCTCGATGACCCAGGGTCATTTGAAGCGAAGTTAGCCCGTCGGTCGGAAAAAAAGGTATTGGAAAGAAGACAACTCGATCTTCTTCTCAATTACTCCCTGGGACTCGCATATTCGCTTGTATTGGCAAAAGGTATTGGTGCCTGTCCACATACCTGAGGATCCACGCGATTCACATTGAGGTAGTCTCGAACACGGAGACTGGTTAGTTCCTATGTGCCTTCGACAGATCCTCCCCTCGAGGAGAATGCCCACGAAAACTGTATGGTGATAACGGGCTGAGAGAGAAAATAAGGACATGCTGAATGAATGAAACCAAGAACGCATAGTCAAGTCTATTGTGGCGAAGGGATGCATCAACCAATGAAATGTCTAATTGCATCCGTGGAATATATAATCACGTTTCTGTACCTTCTTCTTCCTCTTCTTTGTGGGACGGTGAAAACGATAGCTATTTACGTATCTCTTATCGATTTATATATATTTGCTACTATGCTGGCGAACGTTTTCCATTGAGCCTGTTCTTGATAAAGTGATGAGTGTGGGAATGTAAACAGCACAACAAGCAGTAAGAAATGATTGACTCAGCTTTTTTGCAGATGCTGCTCCAAAACTTTGACAAGCTGTTTGAGAGTGCTTTGGACTAGTATACTGTGTAGCCTAAGCCAAGGTTTCCAGGAGGATAATCGAGCTGAAGCAAAATGTTCTGATCGAACAATAAGGGTGTCGATAGCAGCTAGGCGGTGAATCGCGGCGAAGAATATGTTTGATAATCCAATTTTTGACGGAGCACTTGCTTTATCGAAGAAACTCGGTTAGAATTTCCCTTCTTACGTCTATAATTAATAGTCACGCTGGTTCTTCAAGTTCATGCCTCCCCATAAATCACATAATCATGTCTATAACCGGATAAATTATTTCGATTAACTCTACTTTACTGAAAAAATACTGACTTGGGTAAGTTTTATTCCCTACATTAATAACGACCTTTCCTAAACAGTTTATATACGCTTTAAAAGTAGCCTAGACTTCAAATCTGACCTTGGTTGCTGTCCCGTGTTGATGTAGTTTCGATCCCTTGACAGCTATAGTTGATGGCCTTTTTAACTTAAGTAATCAAGTACTCTCTACTAATAATATATCCTTTATTATGCGAACTTATTCCTCTTACGATCGAAACATTTGAAGGGCAAGCCTAAGCAACTCAACATTTCCAGATTAGAACATATTGTATATATATACAATAAACACTGAAGGCAACTTTGCCAAGTTTGAAAAAACTAATTTTAATTTTCTTCCCCCAACTCGTACGTGTGTGTAGATCTCATAGCTGGTTGGCAACGGCGTTTCTTACTAGGGTAGATTTTCGCTCTGGTTATTCCAAACCTCTGATATCTGTGTCAACCACTGTCTAGTAGTTCACTAGCAGATTGCATGCGGTGGCTTGTGTGCTGCTAGTGACCTGGTTGTCCTCCGACACCAATCACGCTAAGGGAATGCTAGGTGGATTGAACCCTAGGGACTACTGACAAGAGTCAGCAAATCGCAATATTAATCACAGACTAACCATAGAGTTTAGCTATGTGCGAATGTAATTTTATCAGGTACACAACATCCGCGGTGCTTTCAGCTGCTTATTCCAGCGACTAACACGTGGACTACAAGAGGAGTACCGGGATATTTTCTTAATTCATTTTAACAGACTGTTCGAAACGTCGAATAATCTTTGATTATTAACTGCCACTTCATACTATTTCGTCGATTCTGATCGAACGACTGACAACTACAAAAAGTTTGTTTATGCGCAACTTGCGCACCAAAACCTCCTGACCGATCAGTCTTTCGTGCCCATTCAAATGCTTAAAACTTCCGACCCATATTTACTTCGTTTATCCAGTCCACATAGGTTTTTCGACGAATATTATGAAAATACATTTGTATTGAACGGGCTCTGCTTTAAAATAGATTTTTATTTTTCGAGTGTTTTTATGGCGCAGTTCTTAAATGCGTTATATAATAACTGATTGAAGTTACAGTTGTTAGGGTGGAGTTTAGGTGGCATGGTCAAGTAATTTCAATTTCTTGAAAGAAACGTTCATGAGAGCAATGGATTTGTAGTTGGTTCGAAGATCTATCGAGGCATTCTTAGAGGCGTTGCTCCTGCAGTCGTTTTATACTTGAACTTTAGGCGTGGAGATGTGCAATACGTGACATCATGGAGACCGGGTAAATGTAGCATAATCACAACCGTACCAAGTTCAATTACAAGTAGGTCCGCGTCATACACTTCAAAACCACAAACTGTTGCACTTATCAATGATGTGTTATGTGAGCACATAATATCCCATTATTAATGCAGAATTAGTTTAGAAGGGCATGGAAACTGCTTTCCTACTACATCATCGTTGAACACGAACATGTCACTACATCCGAGCAAAACCGTCATACCACGGCTAAAGTCGCGACCGATATTACGATAAATCCACTCGCCAGCTTAATTATGGGTGCAAACACGGTTTTTCTGGGCGTTGTCCAACTTTGTCGGCGGCTTTCTACTACTATTTACCGACTAATTAAGTTCACCGGCTCGGATGGCTTTAAAAGAAAATAGTTGAAGCCAAACTCTCTTTAAAATAATAAGCTCATGCATT